GAAAATCACATTGATACAGCGGGATTCGAACCCAAGACCTGTAGATTACAAGTCAAGTGTTTAAACCACTGAGCCACCGACGCTCTTAACTTAATGCTCTCTCTGTCCGCGTACAATTAAAAAACAAAAGTAAATAGCCTATGTGTTCTAGACTGCTCTACATCTGTGACTAATTTCATCGAGATCTGTTCAGCAGTTTAGTGTACAAACTAACAAACATCCGTATAAACTTTCGTATTTAAAATACTTACTAATATAAATGCGAAAGTTTAGATGGATGGTTTGTTAGAGTTTGTAGCCTAAACTATTAAACGGATCTCCATGAAATTTGCCATAGATATAGAGGATAGTCTGAAAGAACACGTAGGCTGCTCACTTTTTTAAATCCACGCGGACGGAGTCGCGGATAACAGCTAGTAGTATGATAAACTCTAATAGCTAAAGTTAGTAAAAATAAATTGAATTAAAAAAATACATGTATTTTGCTATATGACCACATTTTGCTAATTAAATAAAAACCTATATCAAATTTCTTCTCGTTTTATATAAATAGCTAGAAAATATTAGTTAAAGTCCAAGGAAAACACAAAATACTTTAAGTTATCAAGGGTCTATGTTGAAGAGGTTTTGGGCTCTGATGGAAAGGGAACATATTTTTTGAAGTTATATATTTTTTAAGTTACCAAGGTTTGTTTGAGTTATAGAGGTTCTACAGTACTTTTCAAGCTAAAAGTAAGCAGTGTAAAAGTTATTCAGTGGAAGTGTACGTTACGCGCAGGGCGAGCCGCCGCTGCAGCGCGGCTTCGTGGAAGTGCTGCTTAAAGACATCAAACGCATCATACAGTTCTCCCCCGTCTGAACACACACTGGCGTTAGAACATTACGAATTTATTATTTTTTGATACTTTTGATGTAACAATTCACCTTGATATGTAAATATATGTTAGTAATAAAATATTGTTATATGATAATTCGACATTCTGTATTTGTATGAAAAAAATAATTTAAAACCATCGATTATTTTACTGAAATTTATCACAAGATTAAGGGCATGTTCCACTGGAAATCCAACGTTAAAAATATGTGATGGAAATATAGCCTTTTAGTTTGACAGTGACGTTGTTTTGAAGCTATCTGAGCCTCTATCAGCCAATAGTGGGAGATGCTCTACAGTTTTTTTGTTCCATATTTAAATTTTGATAATTATTAAAAATCAATGCCCATATTTGCGATGTACAAAAGAATATCGACAGCAATTTTTGGCAGTTTTTTTTTTATTAATAGTATAAGACAATAAAATATTTAGTTATCCTACGGCCATATACTGGAACGAATCTTGAATACTTTGCTTCGTAAAACGCTTACAAGATACACGTCATTTGTAAGGAATTTAGAGTTTAAGCGTGTATTAACCCTTAATTCAGTGGCAAGTGACAAATAATTAAAAAAATATTCATACCACATTAATATTTCAAAACCAAAAAATGACATTATTAAAAAAAAAATACTACAATAAACTCAATCGAATTAAGAGTTAAAAATGTTGTTACATGTTTAAATAACGTTTCAGTATTCGGCCGATGTATCTTTTTATATTAGGATTGTGAATATTTTATGTACTTTTGCAATAACATAAAAAAACAATAATTTACCACACGCGAATTAACGCCTAATGATGCGTTCTACGCAGTATTTTCACATCCACGAAGTATTTTTGCATTTATATCTCTTTATGTTGTATTGTTTATAATAAAAAATAAAATATGAGAACTAAGTCGAAGACATTAATATAATCTGTCCCTGTTTTTTAAAACCTTTTGTAATATTAAATTAATTAATAAGACAAATTCTGTAGAGTTTTATTATAAAATCCCTTATACCTTATCCTAATCCATTTATCCTATAAGGGCGCACACCGTATCTAAACTATCGAACAAATGTTGTTCGATTGTCGATTGTTTCGTTGCCAATTTAGTTGCACAAATAAAAATCGATTGGAGTACCTTCATATAAGCTCATAGGAATCAAAGCGAGACTAGACAGTAGTACGATAGTTATTCTCAGGTTTGCACGCTCTATATACGAAAACTTTATTCAGAGTTAACATAGGAAAAAAAGAGCGGAGCGTAAAATACGTAGTTCTTTGCTAACTACTTTTATAGTCATTCCAAATTAAAATAAAAATGCAAAGTTTAGAACGTTAAACGTTACGTTATAACATTAATTAACGTTAAAAGATTAATTTAATCAATTTTAAATCATAATGGCTGACCTCTTCATATAACAGACCTTTGTAGGCACCGACTAGAACCGCACATCGTCAGGGTTCTTTAAAAATGTAAACTCTACCATAATTTCGTTTTTTCCCGCTTAAAATAACATCGGCATAGCAATATTAAGCGGGAAAACAATTATTGACGCTTACATTTCCGTTTTGTTTTTCTTTTTTTTTCTTCTTGGTGGCCAGTATTAATGGAAAAGGCCGAATATAGCCTTAATTAAATTATTAGTCAAACACCTCAATATGAGGGCCAATTACGCCAGAGGAAACGACTAACGTACCACCTATAGGGGTAAACAAAAAAAAATAATGCTCAATTTTAAAAGTAAACAGTGACTATTTGTAATCAGTAAAAGAAATTCATTTATATTAAATACAGTTCTGGTTGTT